GACTAATAAAGAGACTAATATAGGGTGGGGAATTGTAATAAAGGAATAATAATATGAATAAGGCGGGAAACACTAAAACACACTTGACCTTCTGCGACAATCAGCTACTGTCGTTGAACACTAAATTTACGTCAAGTTATGGATTTGGTGACGTGAGCACGATGAATTCCCATTTGTCGCCTATCTGACGTGTTTAAACACCTTTGGTGACGAACACAAGTTTTTTTTGTCTCTAAACTTTCGACAATACTGCTTCATCACTAAATTTGCGACAATGGCCATTGTCATTGTTTTAGGAAGAATTGTCGCTAACTATTTAGTGCCATGATGCCACGTGGCAAGATCAATATAAGCAAATACATAATACACAGATCAATATAAGCAAATACATAATACAATGTAGGTCACAAATTGATCATATCATTGAACAGTTAATTAATTAAAGTTTAAACTCACCAACCAAAGTTACAGTAGCAGGTCATATAATACACGTTTCAATGATCATATCCACTGACAACAACAGCAAACCACAATACTAGTTTTGTTCACAGGCCATAATACATCTCACAGTCCATATGATGCACTCACCAAAATTATAGCAGCCACAAGTTCCAAAGTTTAAAGGCCGCACAATACTTCTCAGAGGTCGCAAAACAATGAAACCAGCAGCATGGTTCAAAAGTTAGAGCTACTAATACTAGGGGCAAACAACCAGCAACCAAACCAAGTTCAACCATCCCTAGGACCAAGCATTTGACAAAGGAAGGACATGGTTTCTTGTGATGCCTTTTTTATTTTTTCGATCTCCTCAGCCTGTTTTGCCCTTGCCATTTCTGACTCTTTCTTTAAAGTCTCTATTGCCATTTCTGATTCTTTCTTCATGGCTTCGAACTCATGCCTAAGGTCTTCTTTTGATTTTTTTTCAATTTCAAGATCAGCCCAAAGCTGTTGCACCTGTGCATAAACACCATAAAATATGTCGGTGGCTTTACTATGAAATAAATCATCTATTATTCTCTTAGAAGCAATAACCACTCAAGGCAGCAAGGCAAAATATTTGTTTACTGGACATTATTATGTGTAAACTGAACAACTAAGTACAAGTAGGTTCAAATTGAGTTTACTGTTTTCATGTGCAGGACAGCTAGGTACAAGTTGATTTAAACTCAATAACTAGGTATTTATTCCTAAGCCAAATGCAAATGCCCAACTAAGGGACAACAATTCATGTGCAAGAGTAGGACAGCTAGGTACTAGTAGAATCAAACTAAACAACTAGGTATTTATTCCTAAATCACAATTAGGTATATATCTTGATGAGGCACAAATCTGGTCTATGTCTTGATGAAGCACAAATCTGTAAAGAAAATAACTTCAGAGCATGCATGGTAGGGACTTGATGCACTTGTACCTTTGAGGAAGTGCAACCTTTAGAGCTATTGTTGGAGTTTGGTTGAATTCGTGCAACTTGAAGAAATATAGTTGATTTCACAACTTGAGAAACAGCATGGTTCACTGACTTTGGTTGCTCTTCATCTTGTACTGGTTCAGCCATGATCGCTTCCATATTAGCCTAGCAAAAAAATTACAATAGAGACTTAAATCTTGTGTGCAGTTTATTTTTTCAGATGTACGTCATGTAGCAAAGAAGGAAACAATCTGCATTGGTCAAATGCGGCCTCGGCGTGCGGCGGCGTGACGCGAGCGGCAGAGTTAGGTCCAGCTCTGCGTGGCCCGGTCGGAGGGGGTGGCGACCGACGCAGCTGTGCGGCTGCTACGTGCAGCCGGCGCGTCGATGCCCCTCTTAAGGGGCTTCCGTGGGGCGCCGGGACAACGGCGATGGCGGTGAAGGCTGGCACGGGTCCGGCTTCGCAACCCGGCGAGTGTGCTAGAGGGTTCTTGGGCGAAAGCCTTGGCGACAGCGACGCCGTTGGGCGCCGTTTCCCTGTTGGGGGCGTCGTATTTCCCCACTAGCATGTCTTCTAAGGGTGAAAACTCAGTACACTTTGGACGTGCGATGGTGACGCCATTGGCGTCACTCCCTTCCTGAAGGCGTCGCATTTGGATTATTGATGCGGTTTCGATGCGGGGCGATGGTTTGCGTTTGGAAGTCGGAGCTGCCCTCTTCGGTGTTTGAGCTTGGCAACGATGACCGATGGCGGCCATTAGCTTCAGACCTGTCGGGGGGTGACTAGTGGGTGGCCTGCCATGGGAAGTCGGAGCTGCTGGCAGCTTGGCTTCCATGCTCGGCAATGATGACCCATGACAGTGTGTCGTGTTTGTGCTCAGCTGCGTTGCGTGGGGTGGTTAGCCCTTCGGGTGCCTTTCTGGCATCTCGTTCGGCTAACCTTCTTGTATATAATATTCTTTCGGCTTAATTGAGCGGCAGAGCTGCCTTTTGTTTAAAAAAAAAACAGCAGGGCCGGGGTGCTGCAGTGCGATGGGGTGGAGAGCGATGAGGAGGTGCAGAACTCGTACAGGGGACCCTTTGACACCATGGACGCGCTCCAGGACGCACTGCCAAACAAAAGGTCAGCCCAATCCACCAAAGCTCGCGCCTTTGTCAATCTTGTTCCGGTAATCCGTAATCGTTCTGGATTTGATTTACTATGGATTATAGGGGGATTATGTTGGACTTTTCCATTTCTTGTGCCATATGGTGCACTGCAGATAGAAGGGGGCATGTACTCTCTCCCTTTAGAGTGTTATATGGAGTGATGTAGGTGTAAAAGTTGTTTTTTTTCGATTCTGTACTCTGTAGTGTGCGTCTCTGGAGGGTGCCGAGGGGTTTTGTTTGACTCGAACAGTGCAGTGGAATTTGTTTTGGTTGTGAAATTTTGTGGCATTTTGGGGTGTATCTGAAGTAATCTGTTGTCGAAGTGTTCTGTCAAAAAATCTGGGGATTTCTCTGGTGATCATCCCGTGCAAAGTGGTGGGGGCACTTGGTCTGGATCCTTTTGGTGGCTGCAATGTGCATACCAGCATAAGCGTCGCAGAGGAACTGCGACTCATGATTGTCTTAAAAGTTTATTTCTTGATCGCTCTGGTTGGTGGGTGCTATGGTACAGAGGCTGGACAAGGACAGTAGTGGATTTAGTATGTTTGGCTGGCTGCTCAATTGCATCTGACATAGGCGGCCGCTTGTGGTGTTTTCATTTCTTAGTATGCCTATGGGTGCCATGCCAGTGCCATAAAGATTTCAGACAATTTGTTGGGAAGAGATTGGAGTTTTGTTTAGAGCTGGTTATGGTTCTTCCATGTAAATTATGAGTAATTTTTTTATGTGAAATGTTACCATTTTCACTGAAGCCCATTTTCACTGAAGCCTTGCTCTTGGGTCTTGGCCATGCCTTTTGCTTGTGACAGTTTAGTTCCAGTGTGGGACTCCTTGCAAATCTTCATAGGATATATTTGTATGATTTTGTCACAGTTCATGTCAGCCTGAACATATGCAGATAAAATATTTTCCGCTGACATACTTCAACCTTTGTGGTTTCTGATTTATTAGTAGTATAGGATAGATATGTCAAGAACCCAAAGGTCTTGAGTTAATGTTCAATTATGATGAAGTTGGTTAGGATTGCTTAAGATTGATAGTAAAATGGATATTGAAGTTAAAAGGATTTTTACGTTCCATTCTTGATACTTCACCACTAGCTGGTCCCAGCTAATTTAGACAGTAATAAGCAATAGTAACCTTTGAAACACTGCGCACTCTTTTAAACATTTGTCCAGGAGGTAATTATTTTTAGAAGTAGCAGCTTTTTTATTGATATGTTTGCACAATACATAGAATTATATATTCATATATAAGGAATTCATCATGTTATCTTAACTAAGTTTTTTCATTTTAAAATTATGGCCAAGAGTGTACCTGTGATTGGGTTCTCATGTTCTCCACAGTAACAGAAAATTTTGGCTGAGCTTTGGTTTCTGTTTGCTGTGTGTTTCTTGAATCTTTATTGAGCATTTTCATGTACATATGGTTTGATATGGTGCAGTTCTACCTAGTTGTTTTCTCAGTATTATCTCTGTAGTCTGCAGTAACCGGAGACACCTTCCACATGCCATAACAATGAGCTTCTTTGATCATCTTCAAGGATAACTGCAGCTTGCACGCCTTCTTTGCAGTTTTGCTTTTAGTAGGCTGTTGTGTATATGACCATGTTAAGAGTTCCATAGACAGGTCTTATCAATAAAAAAGCTGCTACTTCTAAAAATAATTACCTCCTGTTACCATGTAGCAATAGTAACCTTTTAAAAATGTTTATATATAGAGCGAAGTGAATTGTTATTCCTACTAAAAGCTGATGAGAAGGTTTGAAATTTTTAGTTTTTAATAGGATAAGATAGTCGCCACTCAGCGGTATCAGTGACCATGTAGCCTCTTGAATTGATGTGCGAAGCTAAGTGCCAAAAGTTGTAATGGTATAGAACGCTCATTTGGTTATAAGTGATAACATTCTTTTCCCAAGTGTGTTTAAACATAACTCTTTTTTATTTAGCATGTATTTAATAATGTGGGCACATGATCAAAGGGGCATAACTCACATGCATTTGTTAGCTAGCTTTCAGAGTACAATTTATATATGTTATTAAGTATTTACATACTCGTCTTATTTCTTGTCGCTACTCGTGCACCTGCTATCTTTAAATATTTCGTTCTCACAAACTAACTGGAAATTGTTTGTCTCTGTTCAGTGCTAGATTCTATATGGCTGTGTATTCAGATAATTTACTGTACATATACTCCTTCAGTTGTTCTAACCAATTTGAATTCTTACCTACAATAGGAAAGGAGTATTCAAATTCTACAATGGCAAAGCGAATTCTGTGGCAGATGCTGCTCAACCGGCAAAAGGCATTGCTAATCCTGTGAATCCATCCCCTAAGAAGTGCAAGGGTTTTCTTCCATTTGGTTTCAGCTGGACCAAGCCTTGGAGCAAAGGGTCAAGGAGCAGACGTGGTGCAACCAGCAGCTCAAGAACTCCAGGAAGACGATGTCTGCAGTTCTTACAGGCAGTGCTCAAGGCAACAGTAGCGGTGGTGGCAATGAGCACCAGGACTGCCAAGAACCTGCTCGCCACTGCCTCCGTCTACATAGGAGGCCCAAGACACCTGCCGTCTCTGCTTCCCCACCTGGACCTGGTGCCCTTCGGTCTCAGGCTCAGCTGATCTCAGTGCAGATGCGGTCGGTCTCAGTGGGTGTGGAGGACGTGGCGGAGTCCACCGCCACAGTGCAGAAGCGCAGGAAGAGCTTGCAGTAGTGACAGTTTCGTCTGTCCAGTTTGCTCCACCCACTGGTGCCCGCTTTTAGACGGCGGAATCCAGTTGCCGGTGCTCCCAGATTCAGTGCGATGGATGCTTTATAATGTAATGTTGAAGCTGCAATTGTGTATAGTGGTGGTAACTGCTAAGTTTCTTACCCTTATTATACATATATAAAATAATGGACTAATGATAGATATGCTGAACCTGGGAAAGTGATGCGTGATCCTATAATTACAGAACTTGCGTTGCTTGTTCTGATTGCCTTATCCGATGTTATTCTTGTCGTTATGCTCCTGGCGGTTGGTTGATTCAACCGTACGCAGGAATTGCAGAGCCTGAGCTTGGTGCATCCTGTTACTTAGGGAGCAACCCATTTAGAATGGTCTATTAGTGTTGCTATTTCGTCGTCACCAACCATTCCGAAGTCTGAACCTCTGTTCCCCTTAGAAAAAAAAGTCAGAGCCTGTCCAACTTCGGAATGGATGGACAGGCTGTAGTTGTAAGGGAGTGGCCGCTGCTAGTCAGGATCTAACATACGATGTCAAGGAGGATGGCAAGCGTGACGAGGGGGTTGGGATCTGTGGTTGTCACCCATCAAAACAAATATCGGAATGGTGATGGTTTGCAACATACTACATTTAGGGTGAAAGTGGGGTTTTCTTTCGAGGCTACTAAAATTAATTGGCATCGGAGTTGTGAAAGACAGTCCACCGAGCATTAAAAAATACAAAATGTCATTTTGACTCTTCTAGATGGAGGCACGTAGAAAAAGCTACGTACTTTGTTCAATTAAAAATAAAAGCAAAAGCTATGTACAAAAAAAACCACAAAACAACTTATAATTTAGAGTGGGAGTAATTTAGGATGCGATAGGTATTTAGCTAGAGATGCTTAAGCGCAAAGGTGTGTGATCTTATAATTAGGTTGTATACTTGTATTCGCATGTGTATTTAAGTTGTTCCGTCCACTACAAAAATATACTACATGTATTTAAACTGTACGTTGTACATTTGATGGCATTTGTTTTTTTCCTTGAACTTGAAAGTCAAACATATCTTGACAATCTTTGGTATTGCTGCTTTAACCTGGACAAAAGAAAACATTAAACCCAATGGTTCATGACACGCTCATGTTATTGAAAGAGACGCAAAACAACAACAAACAAAGCCCAGGCATACAGCAGTATAGGCCTGAAATACGGAAATGATAGATTATACGATTAAGTTACAAAAGGTGAAAGCATTTCCATGCACCTATATTTTTTAATATGGAACGGATAGATGACTTAGGATGCTTCAAACCATAGAAGTGGTGGTTGCCAAGAAAAAAAATGTATTTGTGTCCATGAGCAACCTAAGAGATCACTACTAGACTCGCATGCTTTGCCAGAAACCCTCGGCAAAGGCTTTGTCGAGGGCTGCCCTTGGCAAAGACCCCTCGGGGAATTTTTAGACGGCGAAGGGGTCTTTGCCGAGGGCCCTTTATCGGGCCCTCGGCAAAGAAAAGAAGCCGTCACGCGCCGGCGCCGTTGGCGGTTTCTTTGCCGAGGGCCGACCCTCGGCAAAGAAATGGTTTTTTTTTAATTTTTTTTGCCGAGGGCCGGACATCGGCAAATAATTTTTTTTATTTTTTTAAAAAAAAACCTTTGCCGAGGGCCTCCTCCCTGACCCTCGGCAAAGAAATTTTCATGATTTTTCCCAAAAAAATCTTTGCCGAGGGCTATTGCCAGGGCCCTCGGCAAAGTTTTTTTTTTAAAAAAAATTTATTTGCCGAGGCCGGCCCTCGGCAAAGAAATAGTTTTTTTTTGAATTTTTAAAAACCTTTTGCCGAGGGCACGCTCCCTGCCCTCGGCAAAAGAAATTTTCAGGATTTTTCAAAAAATCTTTGCGAGGGCTATTGCTAGGGCCCTCGGCAAAGGATCTCTTCTTCCGAGGGCCTTGGTCATTGCCCTCGACAAAGAGGCAGAAATTTAAATTTTTTTTGTTTTTTGCATTCCATCGACACAAGCATTTCATATATATACATATATATCACACAGAACCCATTTTCTCACAATATATCACAACCATAATTGTGAACCACAAATCACAATATATTACAACGACAAGTCACATGTTCATCATCATTCACATGTTTATTACGACAAGTTAATGAAATCCAAGCACAAGTCACAACCATAAATCACAAATCACGCTAAAGTCCAACCACATCACCTAGCACGAGTCCTCATCAAGCTAGCCTATGAGACGATGGTGAAGGAAAAGCAGGATCACCTGGTGACGCACTAGCGGGTTGATTGGAACCCGTGGACGAAAGCTGCACAAAGGAGCAGAGATTGCATGTGTGAGTAATCCGGAAAAACAGTTTTGGAACTTAGAGATTGCATCTAGTAATCTAGGGATAAAAAAACATTAGACTCAATTGAAAATTTCGGCAGCACCTCCCCTGCACGGGGAGGTTTCCAAAACTCTACAAGAAAAGCATTGGCCTTAACGCCGACATCCACAGCGGCATGAACGCCGACATCCTGGCAACACGACGCCGACATCCTGGCAGCACGAAGGCCGACATACATGCAAAGCACAAGCGAAAAGTGAACTTTCATACTTACAGGAGTAGCTGCAGGAGTAGGAGGTGGAGGAGCTGAAAACTGCACAGGTACACCCGATGCTTGCCCAAGACTTTGCATGATCACCATCATCTCCGCCATCTGCTTCTGCGCGGCTTCGAACGCGACCTTCTAGGCCTGCAGCTATGCGGTCAGCTCCGTGTTCTGCTCTTGACTTTGCCTTCTTGTTTCTTGTAGCTCGGCCTGCAATATTTCACTCCAATGTATCAGTAATGCAAATCTAATTTAGGTGTGTAAATATCTACGTACGACGAGTAAAACAGGAATTACCTAGAGTGCTTGGACCTGCTGCAGTGCTGGAGAAGGCCGTGGACGTATGGGATGGCTGGAGCTCGTGCTCCGTGCTCGGATAGCGTCGAGGGAGGGAACAGTGGTGGAGTCGATGGCGCCGTCTGCAATCCACAGCCGCCCGTGCTTCTTGCCTCCTCCGAGCCTCATGATCGCCTCTGCATCAATGGCGACAGACATGCAGAAAAAGAGGTTATTTATACCTAGGGTGTCGGTGAAGTAAGGCTAAGCGGGAGGCGTGGTGAATCGACGCGATGATGGCGAGGCGATCTTGATGCTGAGCGAGAACCGCATGACGTCGACGAAGACGATCGAGGTCCTCTGGGTCCCCTCCGGCGTACTCTTCTCTGCGCAAAAAAGACAATAGGTTATTGTTTGTTCAAAATTTCAAGAAGACACCTCCCTCCCTGCGGGGAGGTTTCCAAAACTGCAAAAAAATGACACGATGGGTGACATTCACAACGGCACGAAGGCCGACAACCACAACGACACGAAGGCCCTCATATCAACTTACGGCACGAAGGCCCCACACAACCACATACTGCACGAAGGCCGACAACGAGAGAGTTTTACCTAGGATTGCGGTGGAGTCGGGCGTCGCGGGCGGTGGGGTCACTTTCTTCTCCCGGCGAGGTCGGCGGCGTTGGAGTACTCCTCTCCCGTCTTCCCTTTCTTCTCTCCTTTTCCTCTTCTTCTCCTTCTCTTCCCTTCCTCCTTCTCCTCTTCTTCTCCTTTTCTTCCCCTTCCTCCTTCTCCTCTTCTCCTTCTCTTCTTCCTCCAACTTCACCCCTCTGCCTCCTCCCCTCTAGCGGCGTGGGTGACCAGGCGACACTGGGGCTGGGATCGGGGCGGGAAGGCCGACGAGGGGGGGCCGCCGGAAGGCCGGACGGGGCGGCCGACCTCCCCTTGCTCGACGGAGACGGGGAAGGGAGGCAGGGCGCGACCTCGACCGCCACTGGGCGTGGCGGGGGGGTGAGGGCTATGTTGGTGCGGCTGGCCTTGGCTGCAGATGGGGTGGCGATGGGGTGTGATGTGCGTGTGTGGTGGCTTGTGGCAACAAGGGTGTCTTGTGGCCAGTGGTGGGCCAGTGAAGGCGGCCAGGTGCCTGTGTGTGCATGAGACTGGTGGGGCGGCAAGGCCTTGTGGTGAACCTGTGTGTGGTCTTGTGTGTGTGGTGGTGGGAGGTGAAGGTGGGCAGGTTCTGTGGCATGTGGTGGGGCGACAGGCGGCCGAGCTTCGAAGCAGCCAGCCTTGTGGGCGTGTGGTGGTGGGACATGTGAGGGGGCCTGAGCATGAAAAGTGTGGGGGAGGAGATGTGGTTTCGATCGGGATTTTTTTTTGACAAGATTTCGATCGGGAATTTGCGCTGGCGGCCCGATTTAGGTTTGGCACTTTGCCGAGGGCCCAGATCCAGGGCCCTTGGCAAAGATTTTTTTATTTTTTTTAAAAAAAATACTTTGTCGAGGGCCACGGGCCAGGCCCTCGGCAAAGCGCCTTCGGCAATTTTTTTTTTTGGTTTTTTTAGCCCAGTTTTTTTGTGGTGCTACAATATATTGTTTTGAACTCAATTTTAAAATTTGGGCCAATTTTGACTTTTTTTGTATATTTCTTTAATTTATTTCGATTCTTTGATTTTTTTTTAATATGTCAAATTTGAACTGCAGGTGCATGGAATATTGCAATGTAGTGTTTTGAAAAATATTATTCATGTTAATTGGTGCATGTTGAGTCCCTATCCACGAACTCACATCAAATTTAGCGTATCTTCTTCGCGTAACATGACGACCGACTTGCCGAAAAAGTGTTTTAAAATTATATAAAATCCATACGAAGTCCGAAAATCACGAAACTTGGCGAGATGTCATGTTATCGCATGTGTAGGCTGTGGTAAAAAATTGAGAAGGTTTCGAGCGAGTTGTGACGTCGGACGCCTGAAACCCAGACATCTCCACATGCGCCAATTAACATGTTACGCGAAGAAGATGCGCGAAATTTGATGCGAGTTCGTGGATAGGGACTCAACATGCACCAATTAACATGAATAACATTTTTCGAAACACTACATTGCAATATTCCATG